AAGAGGTAGTTCAGATTTGACCCAAGGCAGCAGTTTTTAGGAGTCATAACCACTTGTGAGCTGCTTTTAGGGCCTGTGAAATGCATTGCTGGTTCCAATACGTTTCTTAGAGCATGCAAAGGATTAGTTGAGGATATTTGCTTTCATGGTATTTGTACTCCTTTATAACTTGTAAGTAATACTGAAAGTTAAGCCTGTACAAAGAGCACTGCATGCTTTTGATGTGTTTTTCACTTGGATGGTTCTTTTTCCAGTATTCATAGACCACTTTTTTGTGAAACACAGGTCCCTTCCCAAGGCCAAATTTGTCCTTTGGTTACATTCTCTCTCTAGCACTGACACTGAGCTGCTGGAGGACATTAAGCCAGTGATTTTTGTCTCTCTTTTCTTCCAGGTTTTTTATGTTTACACCACACAGTATTTGGTACAAGGTCTGTTTCTTCCCATGTTCAGTTACAGTCGTGTATCACCTGCCCTTGACTCTCATGAGCAGCTACAAAATGTGTCCCTGCCCATATGTGTTCGGGTAAACAAGGTGCTGTGAGAAAGGCATCTTCATGATGGGGACGCTCCACATCGACCTACAGCAATAAAAACTAATTCATAACGGTAAGACAGCTGGGCATCTATATGTTGGGAAAAATTATTACCAAATGTGGTTTGATTATTTTGGCACTTGATTTTTTTTGGAGGTTGTTTGTTGTTTTTTTTATCCTTCTCTCCTTCTTCTTTACAGGGCTTTCCTTATGAGAAAAGCTGCTATACCTCACTGGCTTCAGTATGAAATGCAAAATGTTGTGTCACTAAGTAGTACTCGCCACTATAACCAAGTCAAAAGGGGCTTCCAGAAAAGAGAAATCTCAAACAGTAGATGTGACATGACAATATTTATTGATTCTAATTAAGGTTAAAAAAAGTTCATAGCTGTCAGATAAAAATATCTGCAGAGCCTATTGAAAAGGAACTTAAGAAGGAAACCAAGGGAGACAGTCACCACAGAGGCACTTGAGAAAATGCTACAGTTATAAAAGGCACAAATTCATCACACGCACAGCATATATATTCCTGCAAAGTGAAGTCACTCTTTTTTTTCCAAAACACAAGAGGCAGGCATCACTGAACACTGACCTGTACATGACCACAGGAGACACGCTATAAGTGGCAGTCTATGACAATGCCTAAACAATTTGACTGTAGAGATACTTTGAAAGCAAGACTGCTTTGGCCATCCCATTTTCATCTCTATTGAAGAACAGACTGTAAGATCAAGGTGATCTTAAGGTGGTGGAGATGGGAGAGGGAATGTTAGTCCATTTAAACACAGGTCAGGTTTATCTGTGAGCATTTGTAATCTTCAATTTAAGTTGGTTTGCTTCTTGCCTGAGAGCAGTGGCAGATCTGCTGTCATTTAATCCTGGCTCTCTTTTGCAGCCAAGTACTTTCGGAGGACATACAATTAATTCCTTCTTCCTCAATAATATTTTTATTTCATGTCTCATAAAAAAAAACTTAACATTTCTGTACTTCTGTAAAGTCTACCTCAGTGAAACATCAGTCCTACTGAAGACACAGGAAGATTATTTTAATAGAAAACCCTAACTTCTACTCCAGGTCCTGGGTTCCACTGACAGACAGTGCTCAGACGTATACTTAATTGTGATTAATGTCTTTGTTGTGTTGACAGCAGATGTGCTATTTGGAATCAAGATCTGCATTGAGAGAAAAAATGCACTAGATAAAGGAAAGACAAGGGACTGCCTCAGATTGCTCCCTTCCTTGTTGAGTAGTTTATACAATCAGCTTTCAAGTACTTTGGTTAATACAGGTTTCACGCCATGACCAGACATCCTTTGCAATATACAGTTGCTATCAGAACAGTGAGCAAGCAAGTGAGCCTCTTTTTTTTTCTTTTTTCAAACTCTTAAGAGCCTTACAAAATATGCATGATAACACAAATCAGTTCATAAGAGACAAACACAATTATTTCCAAGATTGTTCCTATAATATATTTTATGAAACTGATAAACTGCCAGAACTTTCATGATAGCAGATTTCTCATCAAACGTGTTAAATTAAGAATATAGCATGACTGGTTACCCATTATACCAGACTTCATTTCTCTCTTTCAAGGGTTGGCACGAAGAAATTTTAAAAATCAAAACCAGCGCTAACAGTTCCTTCTACCCATGAGGAAGCAACTTGATTCGCTACCTACATTTGTCAATTTCCTCATCACAGTGACATCCACATACGCAAAGTGCCACATACTCCTTTTATGTGAAAGATGTCAAGAAAACAGCAGCAAATCATTCTTTTTAATCCCATGGTGGTGATAAGCTCCATAGCATAATTGTAGCAAGACACGGCTGTAAAGACAAAGAGAGCATTCCTAATGCTCTGGCAGCCTGGAAGGAAGAAGACAGAGAATTTCGAGTCCTAAAAAAGACGTTGCAATTCAGACCTTCCAACTCCATCAGATTTGGCTAGAAATCTCAGGGGATCCAAATTTAAGCTGAGATTTCAAGTCGCACCTACTTTTAGTTGTGGCAGAATAACATGAGAAATGCTTTGCAGGTCTTTTTTTTCTATTTTTGTTTCACGGTGAAACTAAGAATAAGAAAAGTTTGTAACTATATAGATTTATTTATTTATTTTTTAATAAAACTGACCAATCCCATGAAAAGCTTTGGTTATGATTCAGCTCAGTTCTAACTATACCTAACTTCTGTTTTCCCTTGGATTTTCTGTCCCTGTGACACACAACATTCTCCTGTTAGAATGGGAAAAACCTCTGTCAGATTCAGGAGTGAAGAAGAGACACGTTTTGGATGTGAATAAAACCAATTTATCCTAGTTAGTCTCATAGATCTGCCCTCCTTCAGAGACCTGCAGAATATTTCTAGGGCAGAAGTAGGACTTGAATTCCAAACAGTTTTGGCAGAGAAATCATCTGCAAATGCAGCAGTTCTCTATATGTTAAGTATGTGCTCACCGTCTAGCACTTACAAATATTGGGCCAAGACTTTAAAAATGTCTTCCCAAATTTAGGCTGCTATGCTTATTTCTGGCCTGAGAATTGTCCGAGTTGCAAAAGCTCTGAACTTATACAGTTCCCATTCAGCTTTCAGTTCCTAATTCATTTAGTAAATAAATCGCACAGAGAGAAAGCCACGTAGAAGCACTCAGTGGTAGGCAAATGTCTCAGCCAATTAGTGCTCTATGTGATACAATGAGAAAACCCATATGTACACTGCTGCACTGTTCTTCTGACTTAAAGATCTTTACGTCTGAAAAGTTCCCCCATGCATTTTAAAAGGCTCTTATGAGGATATTCATTTGTGATAAAATCCAATCTGCTGCTACAAGATGATTTTTAACTGGCACATCAGGTTAAAAAGAATGAAACCTAAGGGCCAAAACCTGATGTGCTGTTCACAAATATTACAGCTTTATAAGTAGATCAGTGGATTTCCATGGGACTATTTGCAGAATGAAGTACTACTCTGCATAAGCAAGATCAGATGGTAGCCCAAAATCTCTGCCTGAGACTGGTGATACAGTTCCTCTACCATCCGCTCACACTAGTTGCTGGATATATTATTATACTTCCCTCCATGGCTTTTTAGTGCAATGTATTTTTTTACATATGAATCAGCACTGGTTGAGGGAAGAAATGCAGCAAAAAAACAGGCTCAGAAAAATTCCTGACATCTCAGACTTCATGTGCACCAAATCCTGTTCTCAGTTACACCTGTGTCTTCCTGGTTTGCGTTGTGCAGATGTAAAATGGCAGAAATACCTAGAACAAGGTACTGTCATGTTGACAGGTAGGCACCTAAGGTTTTGGTGGTTGGAGTTCTTTTATTTCTTACTTTTTTTCCTTCTTTTTTTGTCTTTTCTTTTTTCCTTACATTGTTTGCAAGGTACCAAGCTAGGGAGGGCAGAAGCACTTGAATATGACTATCCTATCCATGGTTCTCTTTGATCTCTGTATCACTGATTAGTTACCAAAAGCGCACAGCCAGTACAACAGAGCACAGCAGGCAGAAGTAGAAGTGCTAATCCCATCAATATGGTTGTTAGGAGAGACTGAAGCTTTGAATCAGCTAAGCTGTGTTCAGCATGGAGCAAGTGTTGAGCAATACTTGAGTTTTTTGTTGCTTTTTTTTTTTCATGGTAACACTACATTTTAAGTCCATGGGGCAAGAGACAGCCTCAAGGTGTTCAAAGTATGAATTTAAGTAGATAAAAGAAAGGAAGGAGAAAAGAAAATATATGTATAAGAGTTTCTTACACACAGCTCTACAACTTAACTGCAGTAGGCAGCGGTTAATTTGTTCTCTTGCTATCCTGCAGCCACTTAGGGAGCTAAAAGAGGACCTTGGAGGCAAAGAGTTGTCAGACAGGGTGAAAAAGGTTCAAAAGGCTGTGTCTGTACATTAGCACAAGGTTCCCCATTCACATTCAGGTCCAACAGCCTGACGTGCCATGTGGCTTTACACATCAGCTATAGCCTGGAGCTTGCCAGATTTTAGATAGAAGGGATCTGATGCCACATAGGGGGACACAGGCTCTGCAGTTCAAGGCAGTGTGAACACAGCTGGGGAGCCTGGAATTCAACCACAATGCCAAAGGCAGTAAAAACACTGTCCTTTAACTCACTGTAGGACAAATATGCCACTAGAAATGCCAACAACTTATGGGCATGTTTGTATAGCTGGGATAAATTTAGCCTGACTTGTCCCTTAGCTGCTGCCTGGGCTCTGGACATCTGAGTGAAAAAGAAAAACGCTAAAAGGATCCTTACCAGCAATATGCAGGAACTAGTTAATTGTTCTGCGAGCTATGAATTTCTTTTCTCACTCTACCACACAGGAAGGCAGAAATTCTTTGTTTATAGCTAGAGATGGAAATGCCTCTAAAGACTTGAGTTCAGGGTCTGGCTCAGATACAAATGTAAAAACAGCTGGAAATCTCATCAGAACAGGCTTTACAGAGGTATTTTGTCACTACTGTTCTGAGATCTGGATAAAGACCTCAAGGTGATAACGCTTGGCAGGGTATCCTAGAAATTCAACAACCAAAAAGCTACTGCTAGAAGTAGGCCTGGATTCAAGGGGTTCTTTTTCAGTATGGATCCCCTTCCTTTATCCCTCCCCTCCAGCCTCTTCTCTCTACTGTTTTCTTCTCTTCCCCAGTCCTGATCTGATTTTTGAGACAGGGAAGTACATGTCAAAAAAACCTCCGAAAAAAAGAAAATTCCTCAAGTGTGAGCCTTTGTGTTAGCACCTTTTTCAGTTTCGAACTAGAAGTCCCTTTCTGAAGGCAAATAACCCAGCTGCAGCCACGGAGGTGAAGACAGTGGAAAATCCAATCAGCTTTAGCAGTCCCGGCACAGACGGCAAGTTCCTCTCCCAGAAGGTTGTGGTGATGGGCAAAGCTGGAACATCCTGCAGGGAGAGCACCCACTGTCAACATCACATCTCCACTATGAGAGGCAGGACTTAAATCGAGAGATTCTCACAGCAGAAACAGAACTGGGTTGAAGGAGTTCTTGTTATCAAGAATGTGTACCAAAATTTTCTACTCAGTTAAAGGGAAGAAGATACACATGGAAAGGATTCACAGCTCAGTTTAAAAGTGCAGTTCTTTCTGATCCTGCATTACAGAGTTGTCAGATGGGTGCCCTCTCTGAGTTTCTATCATGTTTCTGTTCAGGGAAGGGCAGTTTGGGTGAGTAATGGAAATTTTACTATGGCTTTGATTTAGTAAACTTAAATAAAAACAGCCAACAAAATTTTATCTCATTAGCAAAAGTACAGGAAAAAAACCCCACATTTAATCTACAGAAAGACTTACAATTGATTCAGGTTCTGGCTTCCAAATTTCACTGTCTGGGATTTTCCTCATAGCAAACAGTATCTGAAAATAAAGAACATTCTCTAGTAAGTACCATTCGCTCTTTGAAAGGAAAAAAGAGTTGGCTTCATTTTTTGTTTTAAAATGTCTTGATGAAGATAACAATTGAGCACACAAATAGCTGTGTATTCAAATTTTTAAAGAAAACTCAACCTTTGTAGAACTCATTTCTGGAGAGGCTTGATACTTAAGAAGAGAAACCTCTCTGTGCTTACTTAGTCCATGCAAGATATAGAAACTTGACTAGTGCCATGGGAGCAGGGTAAAAGTTTAGTATACACACATGGCAAAGAGAGGCGTGCATACAATAACTAGTCCATGGGCAAGCTACATAGCTAGGAGTAGCTTGTTTTGCAAATTTTACCATCATGTAGGAAAGTAATGATGCTGTCTCAATGGTATATCACTGTGTCAGTGGTATTGTTGGAAACAGTTAAGGCAAGGACTGGCTTGTTTTGCAGAGCTGCAGAACTGAGCTGTTCCTAGCGATGCTAACAGCCATGATCTTTCAGTACAATGACTAACAAAGCGACCATTTGGGGGAAATTTGGGGGAAATTTCCAATTTGGGATTTCTACTAAAGAATGGATTTCACTCCTGGAAACAGAGAACAGTTTGATGAAATAGCCAGAGGTCTAAGCATTCCAAATCTAAGTGCAAAACCTCCATCCTTTTTGAAGTCTACCCCCTTTGCAGGGATTTGCATCAAGATTTCAGAAAACCTGAAGCTGTCAACACTCAGTTCCCATTTCACCTCCAGCCAGAAGATCTTTCATTTTCCACAGGATATTTGACAGTGTCTCCTGTTTTAGGCTTGCAACTGTACCTCTCTGGCCGCTCTTTCTCCAGCCTGTACAGCCCCCTCCATGTATCCACTCCACTCTGTGGCTGTCTCTGTGCCAGCAAAATAGATCCTGCCAACGGGCTGCCGAATAATCCTGGAGGGAGACGAACAGTAAGTCACATCAAACACATCAGGAAAGATAACTGAAATTTTTGAGGTAATTTTAGAGTAAAAGTGTTCTCAGTAACAGTGAGCACTAAAAGGTAGTAACTCTGGGTGAGCTGAGCTGGAGGGGGAGTCTGCGTTGCATTTCATTTCTTACAGTAAACACATCAGTGTTCATATTTTCTAAATATTTACACTGCTCGCAAGTGTAAAGGACAATTAGTTCAAGATGAGACTTATTCTGTCTCACAATTTTAGCCAGTGTCATAAATAATAATGCTAGTAATTTACTCTAATTTTTCCCAGAACTTGCAATAATTATAATTAAAATTACTTTAAACGCTAAGGCCTCCATACACTCTTCATTACAACTGCTTTATTGTTCTAAGTTCTTTTCAAATTGTGAAAACTTGTACTTCACAAGTAGGGCTATGCTGAATCCAATCACTGGTCTGATCAGTAAACCTTTTTCTTTTTGGTAAACCTTATTTTCATGCAAAAACTTATGTCAGAGAGGACTGTATACAATGGCACACTGATTACTGTATTAAACATTCACTGCTAAAAGGAAGGAACAGTCCAAAGAAATCACTTACTACTGTCAACATTGGCAAGAATTAATTCTCTGCCAGTATTTATAAATGTGCTGGAAACAGTAACACTGATCTCAAACACCCAATGTCAATTTTTAAACAGATTGCGAAAGCTTCCCAACTCCCTTTCAAGAACCTACTCAGCTGCATTCACCGAGTAACAAAAGTGAATAAAAACCCATAACGATCCTGTACTCATCCATCATAAAGCCCAACTGAGACAAGTGGAGGCGTATAATATCTGTTTAAAATATTCCTCAGTTATCTTAAAGGTATAAAGCGAACAGTGACAGAGGATTTATGACCCTTTCTGAGGATATTTATTGACTTGGTCTTATCTTACTATTCCGAAGCCCACTATAAATAGACACTGTACCTTCCATACTGAGTCATTATGCCTGGTGGGAAGTAGGCTGTGTAGCAGCCCCCAGAATACTGCTCTTCACACCAGTTCTTCTCTTCATAATGCACTGGCTGTAAAACAGAGATTAATGCACTCAAGGAAAGGAGAAAGTCCCGAGGAAGCTAATAAAAGAACTGAGGAGACAGCAGAGAAGAATAGCTTATGATTTGTTGCATGTCAACGTCTGACAAGACGAGCACATTTAACAAGTCTCTTAATGCAACATGGATCCATCACAAGAAGCCTTAATTTTAGACACTGCTAGCTATTTTTTTAAAAAAATAGCTAATCTGGCCACTGTAGAACATAATCCTCTTAGTGTGCCAATGTAAATTTATACTTTGAGCACAAATTTATGCTTTGAGCCATGTAAAGCAAAATTAACCTTTTATGTACACAGGTATAATACTTGTAATATATACATTGGATACAAATACATACTGTTAAAGATGCAAAGTATGGCACTTGCATAGTTCTGCATACAATATCACTTTGTTAAAAATGATGTAATCTCGAGTCTGGTGTCTACAACATTTAACTCATGTAAAATTGCCCTTAAAGGATAAACAGTGTTGATCACATAAACTAACTGTGAGATCACACAAAGCCTATTAGTTATTAACCATCACAGAGAAGACAAGGCAAGAGAAAGGCAAAAAAACCCCAAAAACAAAATAACCCACATGCAGCAATTGATCTTAGCAACCCGTAAGAGAGAAGAATCATTATGCTCAACATAGACTGAAAGGGAAAGGCAAGCCTGTCACATCCGAAAACAGTTGAGATGTATGGTGATAAGCACTGTGAATGCCACTCATGAAACTGGACAAGAACATATCTGCCTTTTAACTGTTTCATAAGCTCATTCTTCTCCTCACTGACAAACACAACTCATAACCTTCTCTCCACTCCTCTACAGAGGGCAGCAAGTGCTCCCATAGCAGGTACCTTTTCCAAAATGCTACACAGTGCTGTGTCAGAGCACTGCTGCATTCTGGTTTCATTCTGCCCTTCCCCACCTTAACAAGTCTGACAAGAGACACCGTGGTTTAGATTTTGTGCTTACATGTAAAGCTTCCTCTAATCCCAGAACTTTTGCATAGAGTTCACACAGCCTCGTCTTCCTGCAAGAGAAAAGCAACAGAGGAGTTCTGTGTGGGGAAAGAGAAAATAAACCACCTCTAATATGTTCTAGTTTCAAGAGAACAAGAACTACTATCTGCTTGAGCTTGAGGTTCCAGCTTTTTGGGATCTATCCTAACTGGTGGATCACTAGAAATAACTCACACAAACTCCTGTGCTGCGTAAGTGCCAGTTTTACCAGCAGTTACGCAAACTGTTCCCTTCAGATACCTCTAGCAGCCCAAATCGATATGTTACCTGAAAGGTTCTCTATGCTGTCAGAAAAATAAAGTGGCAAGGCATTGCACTTTTTTGTCTTGGCACATAGTCTAACTTATGTCTTGTTCCTACAAAGATGCAGGTATTGATAGCCTGAGGCTCTCAGGGAATCAGTACTTTATTTCTGTATCTATAAAATTTCCTCCAGTTTTAGTTTATGAGTCTATAAATCCATGAATACACTTCACTCTGTAGCAAACCCCAAGTGCAATTAAGTTTGTTCCTACAAGTTTTTGGGTCCTAACTGTTTACTGTTAGCTGCACTGCACCAATTCCCAAACACAAGAAGATCAAGATGAAATAATGGTTAACAATTATGGAAAACAAACACTGGAAAGACATTTATTTCTGGAAGCAAATTCTTTGCTCCACAGAAAACCAAGCTGGGCACAGAAAACCAGCAATTCCAGCTCTGTAACTCCATGGGCTACTCTTGCAGCTATATAAGCATATGAGGAAACCATATCTGTACTGCTGTATGAAGCAAGCCAGCTGTACAGGAGCCCAGCTATACCCATGAGCAGCTGAACTCAAAGAATGCTATAGAAAGGGGATGAGGAGTAAAAAATAAACAGGAAGACCTGAAGGGCTTTGAAGAAGGTGACCTCCTGTCCAGGTTGGGACTTGAGCAGGAAAGGGAAGGCTGTTACAGTTCATGGCCCTGGGGTGATTTTGCTGCTGCCAGAGGGAAGGGAGCAGCCCCCTTCTTGTGTACCGGGGTGGAGGACAAGGGTCAGCCTGCTCCAGAAGCAGAAATGCACGGTGACACAGTGATTGCCCAGGAGGTCTCAGAAAGCTGCAGGATCTACATTTGATCATCCCTCTGCAGTCAGGGAGTGACATGAATTCAGCAAAAGCCATACCAAAAGGGATAATTTTCTTCATCTCTCTCTCTGTCTCTCCCTAACTGAGGTGACCACCATGCCCTGCAGACCACCAGCACCTACCCACTGTCTGAACAGAATAAAGCCATTTTAACAACATGATCCAGCAAAGCCTCTGCTGAGGTCTGCCCATCACCTCTCTGCTTTCGAGGCAGGTCAGAAACACCACAGGGCTCTGCAGGAAAGCAAGTTATCACCTTGAGACCCATCTACTTCTGCTCCTCCCAGCACCATGACAGGGATGAGAAGGACCCCTCTAGATCTACCCATGCCCTGTCCTTTTCCCACAGGTGGCTAGCAGATCCTCCAGGAAGCCTGGAAATGGCATACCAGAGGCTGGTGGAGACATGGACGGCCAATTGCAGGGCTCCACGAAGGCGCAAATTCAGTGCCATTGCAATAACTACATTGCAATACAGATAAAGTCAGTTTAACATAGTCTTGCAAAAGAAAATATTAATTAATTAACTAATATTAAGCTTCCGGTCAAGGGCATCTTGAGACTTTCAAGAAATTTCGACCTTGGAAGGAATCATTCAACAATAATTAGGTATTGCTTGACAGAAAAAAAAGAAACCTACAGAAAAAGACATTTCTAACAGATAGAATTGTACCAACAGTACTCTATCAATGAGGACATTCCCCTTAATAAGAGCAATCCTTGCAAATGCACTGGTCTCTCTGCAACATCTGCACTTTCTGTCCTAGAACAGTTTAAATAAATACTTATTTATGGATTTTATGGTTAAGGATAGCATGGAACATATGGACTATATAGCGAGTTAAATCCTTATTTCTTGGCTTTGGACTCAGCTGTAAAATTGCCATCAGCACTAAATAAAAAGAATGTTACGTCTGGAGCTACCTAGGTAGGTAGAGTTACACTGTGCCTGGTGTGGAAGAAGTGCACACACAGACACTCAGCTCTGTTCCCTGGTCTCTTATTCCATGGCAGCATGTGATGCCATCACCTTCATTGGATGGGTGTGAAAGGTAGGGCACAATTTAACCACTGTAATTACTCACTGTCACTTGGCCTGGGAAGACCAGCTAGAAGGCAGCTGTGAGTCCCTTTAGTCCGGCTTAGGCTGTAAAATGGTTTCTATCCCCTCCCACAACCGTTGTTCCCAGCCATGATTTAGGATAACTGCCATAAACTCTACATCTTACTCTTCATATCCAAGAATTACTGAAAACTCCACCCTGTTATCAATGTGATAAAGGGAGACTCCAGCCTGTGTTGGTAGGCGAGCAGAGCATCTCAGCAAGATACATCCTCTGTAGGGTGCCATGAGAAGTCTGTCCTCAGAAACAAACAACATAGCCCCCATCTAAACAACATAAACTGGCTGCATCCTGAGTGTACACTGGGAGAAGGTCCAGGTTCATGCTCTGCCTTCTCCTGGACTCAAATTTCCACTGGGAGGAGACCTGTGAGGAGAGGAGCTGCAATGCAACTCAGCCAGTGGGTTCCTGTCTTGGCTGGCTGTGGCCAGGACTGCAGGAGCCAGAGAGGTACCTCACACCAGGGTACATCTATCAGGTACAAACCCAAGCATAATTCATAACCATTCTTTACCAAAGCAGAGTCCTTCCTAGTATAAGGTTTATTCCTCAAAAGACAAGAGTTGAAAATCCTTTCGTTTAAAACTTGGTTGTAGGCAGCAGCAGCGTCAGATTATTGTGCTAATGCTTTTAAAACCCAGAGGAAAGCAACCTTTCCTTAATGGTGCCTTACAAACAGCGAGGACAGCCCTTCATTTCACAGAAAGAGAAGCTGTTCTCAAATACTGCGAATGCTCAGTTGCATCTAGTGTATTGACACACAGAGTGAGACACCATTTGGTGTTTATGATGGCTTAAAATGTTGGGCACACTGGATTTCACAATACCTACACTACTTCTATTGTCAGTCACCTTCTAGGTATCTATCTCAAAGCCTGAGTGCTGAGGAAAATGCTGTTTTGTCCATTACTGACAAAATTAAAAGTGCTCTGTGGTACCAGGCTGTCATTTGACAAGACTGGGACATTAACTGCCCTATTCAGACCCATTATCCACAGGCTGCTAGACTACCTGCAAAGCTAATCTGAGATGACTCCATTTTCTCTGGTTAGACTAGCTATTACTGTAAAAATATTTACTTGGAGACAGTATTCCTTGTGACACACTTTAAAAACAAATGTATTTTCTCCACACCAAAATTAGGCTCTCCTCATATCCACACTCTCTACGTATAGCTTTCATTTGATCAGACACTGTGAAGCCGTGTGATGGAAAAATCTCATTAATTTGTAAATTCTATTTTAGTAATAAACCAAAGAGCACTACTCTATGCAGAGATTTGTTTCAAGAAGACAGTAAAAATGACCTTCACCTGTGCCTGAAGGGCATTTTTTTCCCATAACTGATGGTGGAGAGCTGGAGACAATTTTTTGACCCCTTCATGATGCTGAGGTCTCATGCATGGCAGGTACAGCAGCTTCAAGGCTGCACTAAGTTACAGACACTGAAAGGATTCTACAGGGTGGTTAGAAAAAAATCAAGCACAGTGGCCAAATCTGGCCTTTTTGACAAGCTTTCAAAGAGCTTGGTGCACTTGCAGGAAGCCAGAGAGGTAGCAGTGGTGTGGATGGCCCTGGACTCTTTCCAGTGAGAGCAGCAGAATATCTACACAGCTTTCATATTCAGCAGCTTAGAGAAGTTCTTTTGCTAGGGTCACAAAAGCAGATCAGCCCTGCTGGAAAATGACAACCAGGACCAGAGAGTTTCCAAGGGGCAGGGACTAGCTACCACAGTTGCCGCCAGTTTGTGGGAGCACTGTGGGGCCTTCATCCAAAACCAAGTAAGATCTCTTATTCCTTACAGTGATATGTCTGCCTACTGTCTCAAGGTTACAGACAACTTCCTTTAAATTGCGGCATTTTTTTCCTGCTCTGATCACTTACAACAAAATTCAGTCCATGCAGATCTTCAGTGTTTGTACTTACCTTTCTTCTTTTGTGAGACCTGTCAGTCTTCTACACTTCCGAGCAAGAATGAAGCTGTAGGAAGACCACAAACAATTTACTTCCATTATGTTACTACACCTCCTGCATTACTTAAAATGCCAATATCTTATGATGGAATACTCTGGTTCACAGTGTTAGCTTTTGGGTCTCTATCCAATAGAGAGATATGTGCATATGTGGAGCTACCTCACTGTGGAAGGAACCACTCTGAGATACAGGTTAGAATATTCGTATGAGCTGTTTCCCAATGACCATCACTTTATACAGCAGTGGGTGCAGGCATATAGCAACAAGAGGTGAAGCTTGGAATTGAACTGGAAATTATTGTTTAATAAACTTTTTAAGACAGATCATACTCTCTGGCTGTTTAAAAAAATGGAACAAAACCAAAATATAATTCTAGAAAACAATTTTTCATTTAAAGAAGTGGAAGATTTTGGGAAGGCAAAACATTTAGAGAAATCTTGACATTTCTGCAATCACCCTATTTTTTCTTCTCTTTATTTTCCTCTTCTCCAGTTTTGTACTTTGCCCCACAAAAAGGTAAAAGATGACAGTGAGAAAAAGAAGGGAAAAAGAAGAAAAAAAAAATCTCATTTTTTTTAATTAGCAATTAAATCATAGAGAGAACTTTTTTTGAAAGAAAAAAAATCATAGAACTTATTCATCACACACTGAGAAACTCAATCCTTTAACTATTTTAAAGTATTTCCCTTCAAAAGTAGTAGGTTTTCTGTTTCAATAGTTGCCTCTAAGACAAAATAAAAAAGACATTAACTAGACACTTTCTTTGTCTCTTACCCTATTATGGCAGGAAAGCTGCCATCAGGCTTAGTATCATCAAGTGTTAAACCAATTGCAGCATCCTCATCTTCAATGATCATGGTACCACAATACCCTGTTAAGTACAAGGTGGAAAAGAAGTTAGAACCCATGTATCCAGATGCAGGAACAAGCTTCCAAGAAGTTGTGAAATACTCCGAACTTGACTGGAAAAAGCCATAAACAACCTGACCTAAATGAAACATGTTTTGAGCAAGGCATGGGACTAGATAACATCCAGAGGTCCCTCCCAGTCTCTACCATTCTCTGATTCTGTGATTCTAATACAGGGAGATACGAAAACAAAGGAAAGGACAACAAAAAAGCCAAGTCACCTCCATCAAGTGACAAAGATTAGCATATAGGTTCCTTGCTAACTGGCAAGACAGTGTAAGGTAGTGTTGCCTTGAGTCAGAGCTAGATCCTTTCTTAGAGAAAAAGGTTTAGATCTGAGATGTGCTCACAATAATCCTTTTCAAGCATCTTTAAAACAGGAAGTCAATAAAGGAATCTCCTATTGTTGAATTCATGATAGAAAAATAAATTATTCTGCAAGCTGGTTAGCAAAGTAATGATTAATTGCACAGAAAAAGATTGTTCTCAGATATTGAAGATGTTTAAGTAGCTCTAACACAGTTTTTTCCATATATGACATTTATGTCAGACATAGACCAACATATTCATACATTGTTTTAAAAACACAACTGTTCATAAAAGAAGGTTTTGAAGAAAATAAATTGTTTTTCAAAGAAGAACAACGGTGATAGCAAAGCACAATATGCAAACTATGGGTTCTATCACAAAACTGGAATCACCTCTGGCCAATCCATTCCAAACCTAATAACCAGAATAAGCCAGGATCCAGAACTTTTTAAATCATCCACAAAGATGAGAGATTATATTTGTAAACAGACACAGATGTGGATCCACTATAACTGGTGATAAGAAATGAGTGCTATTACATTGCAGTTTGTCTTAGATTCAGTAAAATCTAAAAGAGAGCTGAGGAATCATGATGGAAGCATTCAGCATATAAAGTGAGTGACAGGATGACTAGCCCAGCTGGAGATCTCTATGAGAAGGCAACTTCAATTAATCCTGCCCAGCACATCCAGCAAGCAGAATTTTTGCAGGCTGATAACTGATGGGATAAAACCTCTTTCCATCACATGTCACTTGTACCTTTACATTACTGTACAAGTGGGGAAAACTCATCTCATACCCAGGTGCCACTGAAGGAAAAGGAGAGGACAAAAAAGAACAACCAAGGAGATAACCAACAAGCACGAGTTCTCCCTTCGTGTCTTCCTCCTTCTTTTTATTCCCCCATCCACCCTCTCTTCCCCACCAATCTCTCAAGCTTCTCAAGCAGGGGAAGGTGAAAATGGCATAGAAGTGTATGAAGTCTCCTTCTAAAATCCAGCATCCTCTAAATACAAAGTCTACTCTGTTACCATGTACCCTGTTCTCCCTCTCTGTCACCACTATTCCTTTCAATTAAAATGTAATACCCTTCTTCCTCCAGAAAGTTTCCTTGTAGTACACAATGCACTTGATGACTGAGCCCATGGGGATTCGGTTGATGAGCTGGTTTCGCATTGGGGGCAAAGGTGGGTTGAAATGAATCTTCAAACCAAGAGCTGGGGGAATGGCACTGATCACATACTTGCCCTGGAAAAGAAATTATACATAAGCCAAAAACATTCTCCACTACTTCATCCTAAGTACACTGCTCTAATGGTCTTGGCAGACATCTGGAGAGGCTGCAGGGTGTATCTTGTGAAGCAATTTTGGCATTTAGCATAAGAATCACAAAACTGAACTCTCACAAAATCCTGCTTGTTAAACAACAAACAAGCATTATATAAACAGCCATCTGTTTGAATGATGGGCAGCTGCTCTTTCCCCAGTGCTTGAAAAGATGCGCTGTGTTATAAGAGTCCATTGGTCTTCCTTCCATCTGGACTCCTCTGTTACAACCTGGAAGCAAAGCCTGCAATGTTTTTTACAGAAAGTTTATTACTAAGCTACATTTTTGTGTTCATCTTACAACTATCCTTTAATTTGGAAGGTAACTGAACACAAAGAAGAAATGCTAACAAAGGAAGAGTTTGAATACACTCTTCACTTTTCAGGCATCACTGCAAAGCTCTATCATTGCTATTGCTACAGGACAATCAGAAAATGTGACTTTCTGTCATAGTCACTTAAATCTCTGCTACATTTTTGTACAGGATTTTGGTGAAATCAAAAAGGAAAAGCTACAGGTTTACTAGCCATCCCAGCACAAACAGTTGTTTAAATGTTAGAGGTTTCATTACCTCATATAATTCATGATCTAAGGTTTCCACTATGACACTTTCACCAGACTGATCGATGCGGATGACTGGCTTCCTCAGCTTCACCCGGCCTCCCAGGCGCTCCATTAATTTCTCACTGATCTGGCCAGAGCCCCCAACAAACTTCCTCTCCTGAAACACAGAAAACAACAACTTGGCAAAGTGGACTTGGCAGAGCAGTGCTTGTGAAGTGTGTATCAGGACAAACATTTTGCTTGGCATTCAAAACAAACCTCATTCTTCTGTTGTTATCAAAACATTTTGGAGAAATTTGGCAGTCTCACCCGGAAGACATATCCACATTACTTTCTCTTTCAGTGATCTCCTCAAATACTTCCCATATTAGACTGCCACACAAAACTAGAAGTATCATTAACATCATGAGAAAATCTTCTCTCATGTGGTCTCCAAATAGATTCCAGAGATCTGTGTGAATCAGCAAGACTTCTGAAAAGTGCTTAAACTTTTAAACCTTTCTATGAGTTCACTCTTATCCCTGCAGAGGTCTGGTATCAGAAGAAGGAACCTTGATCCTCATAATAAACAAGGCATAAGAAGTGATGTAGCTCACACCAAAAATGTCTCCTGCAGTACGTAGTCTAACCTAACTTAAACACAAACCACTTCTAACATAATACAGATTTCAAATAATATTTTATTCAATGTATTTACAGTTAAATCATCTATAATTATTGCTTACACATGCATATTTATGCATTTTAACATGTTTTAATGTATTTGTATTTCTAGCTCTTTATGATTAAAGAGTTTGCATTTCTAAAATATAATTATTTATAATATGATTACTAAAATTTGCATTTCTTCAGTAGAAGACCACTAACAGAGTCTTTACTTTCTTGAAATGCAGATGCAGCACTAATATACCAAAGTTCAAACATTTCAGAGCAATTTCTTATTTAAGCAGGGCGTACATTTTCCTCAGACTGGTCTTAAAATCTTAGTTCTAATCCTTGGAAGTTTGCATCTATAGGAACCCAGCTCTGGGCTACATTTTCAGTATTAATTTGGAGCATTTTGCACACTCACGGAGCTAGCATTACCATCTCCATTAAGTGCTTCTGAAGTGGTAAGGCTTGCTTCAGCCTCGTGACGAAAATAAGCACGTGTAAAACTTCCTTTTTCCAACATGGATAAGCAAAGTACATGTTTTAACTAGAGCCCAAAAGGAAGCTGCAGTCAGGAACAGACACAAACCCACTGATCCCTGGGCCAATGCCTTCAGCACAGGAACAACCTTCCACACTGGTTTTGCAAAATCCAGACAAAAAAAAAATAGACCTACTTATCAATGTCCTACTGGCTCAAAATCATGGGCATCACAGTTGGTCCTTCAAACTAAAATAAGCAAGCAAGAGAATGAAGATAAAACAGGGCCTGTCACAAGCTGCAGAAGGTGACGGCTGACAGTACCTGTCCTCCATTGGTCGTTGAGAATATCCTTGTTGTTCCCCCACACTGCTTCACGTACCACAAAAACCAAAGAGCAGAGACTTCGTGGGGTTCAGAAGTGACATCCACATTCACAAACAGAGTTGCAAAACTCTTGGCAGCGCTGCAACAAAGAAAGTGAGTTAATTTAAAAACAGAAGAAGGGTGACTAGATTGTTCTTTTGTAGGGGAGAGACTGTCTTTGGCAACCTTTTCTTTCACTGTGGGCAAAGGATTCCTCAATTTCAATTGAAAACTGATGGGAAACTATCCATACCTTTCACACAACATTTTTCAAGGAACCCTGCAAAAAATTTGGTAATCAAGCACTGCTGTATTCCAGCCAAACTAGGACTCCAGGAGACACAAGAGCCCATGAAAGCTTCTGTCACTTTTTGCTACTAATGCAAAGTAGACTCAGGATTAGGGAAGTAAGCTCTCCTTTCTTCACTGGACTCCAGAACCACCATGTCTTCCCATGGGTCCTGGGTTACATACAAGATCTGCAGCTCTGTTTGTACCTGCTGAATGCTTGTCCCGCAAGCACACAGCACAGAGATTATTCAGCACTTGTCATAAACAAGTTAGGGATCTTGTCTAAACTAATTAGCTAAACTCTCTGGATTAGTCAGTGTCCCCTCACTGCCTGCTCCTCTGCTGTGCTCGGAGAGGGTGCTCCAGCAAGAGCACAACAAGGAAAGAAACGTAAGTAGGAAGTCATAAGTGAAGAGACAGCATATACACATTCATGCAGAAGTCTGCAATGAAAAGGGAAAGGATATTTTTGGTTGCTCAACTCAGTACTTTAAACAGTGGTTTGGTAGTCAGTGGGGATGAGCACAGAAGTGGAAAAGTGGCCTGTGTCTGGAAAAGGATCACTGCTTTATGTCCTCCAGTTGATGCTTTCATAATAGCTCTACTGAAAATTACTGTATCAACCTGTACAAGACTTCAGGGTACACTAAGAAAGAGTTAGTTAAAGCTCAGGGAAACATTTCTCCTGCTAGAAGTAAATACTTCCTCTGCCTTCCACTCTAAGGAGGAGTTTAAAGGGACATGGACAAGACCATGAGATGCTCAACTTAACTGTGTTGTGATTGTCAGGGGCCGAGATTCTATAGGTATTTCATATGCCGGGCATCAGGCAATCAATAACTTCCAAAACCACTACAGAAACCACTTTTAGTTGCTGCCCTCTTTTTTCAATCTTCGAACATTAAAAAAAAAAAAATTGAAAAGCGTAACTCAAACATACTTCAAACAGCTGAAGATCTACATAGAAAAAAGGCATTGTCTGTCATTTTCTGCTGAAGCAAAAAGCTGATCCATTTTCTGAACCACAGGTACATTCTGGCTTCATTCTTGACAGGCAAAAATAATACAGAAAATATTTATCAATTTTTCTCTGTATAAACACATACTGTAAAATATGATCAAGTCTAAAAGATATTTTGTCTAAAGGGAGAATTAGTATATGTATAAATTAATATTTCATAAGCAGCAGCTGTTAAATTCTCCCAATTTCTGCCATCTTCTCCCATTGCTTTTTAGCATTTCAGTTCCCCAGCTTCTCCTGGTGTTTTACCTAGGAATGGCCATATGATTTCAACCAAGAGCACTTGGGGCATTTCCAGCATGCAACTCTAGCCAAAAGCAAATCTGTACAGTCTGTTAGATGAGAGGAAATAGTGGAAGATTACCCTTCTGGATCATCACCTTCCAGAGTGGGAAGTTTCTACAGTATGTTACCTCAATCTTGAACAAACTGGGCAAATCAAGCTGAGATGCACATATAAAATCTGAAAAGCATCTTGGAATTACGGAGGCTGACAGTTATGCCAATATTCAGGTAAAATGTCAAGTCTTATTCCATCAGAGTTTGAAAAAATATGACCGTAATCACGTGAGTTACTGGACATTGAATGACTACCAGTGCATGGCGTTTTGCTAACTTGCATAGTTCCTTACCAAATCAAGAGCTTCAGATGGCCAGCAGAACAGTCAGCACACATTTCTATTTGGTTTTACTGAATATGGATGGTGATACAAATGAGAAAGGCTTTCTATATGCTCTTGTGCAATTGTCACTCTAGTTAAAGCAAAACAGCCAGAAGATTAGAAGCTTTTGGACAAGAGCCTACTGTCCATTAACAATGCTCATCTTGCTCTCTAGAGGATGGCTGGAGCTGCAAAACATGCCCCTGTCGAGGACAGTGTCAGCTTGAGTGGGTGCTAGAAGCACCAAGCTCGTGCAGGCTCACTGCAGTTGCATGTCAGGCACTTAGCAATTCTGAAGAGGTTGCTGTAGAAATCAATCTGCTTTACAGCAAGGCAGATTTTTTTTTTTTGCTTCAGCGCAAAGAAAACCAATCAAACTCTTGTTGAATGGCAAGCAAAGAAAAATTGCTTTGATGTATACATAAAAACAGGAAGCATTTTCAGTTTCCCTGGGTGGCATATAGGGCAGCAGTTAAACAATAGAATGATGGGTGTTGAAGTGATTTAGTGCTATTTCAAGACAAATGTTATTTTTATAGCTCTTTGGTAAAATCAGCTGGTCCAGCACAGAATAAATGTGTGTTTTGCCATCAAAAGTTTGACTCAAAAAACTGCTGTAGCCATAGCACTTTTCTCTGAAAAGTTAAACACACAGTAAAGGGAGGGAAAGTGCACATAACAGATGATGGCACTACTGATGTCTTCAGAAGTAACCGTCCTCGAATATATTTTCCTTTTATCTTTATTTTAGTCTAAAAAGTTAGGGAAATATAACTGTGTGTGCTGACAGGTTTTGTGGTCCATTCTTACAAGGCTTTTTCACTCCATTTCTTTAAAAAGGCAGTATCCTAGTGGTAGTTATATCTGTTTGCAAAGCAGTAATACCTATTCCGAGCTCTAAGGTTTATAAATATTAGCTATTATATTTTGTATTAAAGAGTTTCTTACTTTGTCCAGCAAATTTTATCTAGCAAATCTTGCATAGTCATTTTGTCCCATTCTTCTGCATGTGGAGCTTTCCATGGGGCTTCACTAGGAATCTAAAGAGTCATAAAAGAGCATTCATCAGCAAATGAATGAGTGGCATAAGAAAAGGACAACAATCATAAACAAAAATCTCATCTTCACATGGCAATTCAGCCTGCAAATTCCTGGAAGGTAAAACAGTGAACCTAACAAAGGATGCTTCCAATTTTCTGATGTTTGGTTTAAAATTATTTTTTAGATTTAAGAATAGAAAAAAATTTTAGAGTTAAGAACTTTTCCTGGAAATGTAAAGCACAGCGCTGGGGAATGTCTCTGATGTATTCCATATTTCTCCCATTCACCTATGCAAGTAACAGCAACCTCTTTTCAAAGCCTTGTAGCTCAGTCAATGGAAAACATACAATACTGGTAACAAACTAAAACAGTTCAGCTGAATCTGAGGGTGAAGAAGAGTCTATGTTTGAGGTCTACAAGCCTCTTAAAATATTACTTAGCCAACCATCAGGCAAAGTGCTAAAAAACAGATGCATAAACCCGAATGTTCATATATCCAGAAACACGAAGGTATGACTGCTGAAAAAGCTTTCCAGGATGCCATGCCACTTATAACATGTGCTCTGCGTACCAAAATGTACGGCACGATGCTGCTCTTGCTAGTACCAGGTTTGTTCGAGCTAGAACAGTGTGGCCCATCTGCATCCTAGTCCCATCTTCACACTGCCCCTCATGGAGTCAAAGCTCAGCTGAGATAGTCAGCTGCAATTCCTCATGCCATACCTCCTTTCCCATTTCATCCATGGTCCTCCAGAGGTTGTTGTAGTCCAGGTAGGCCAATGGATTCCACATAGGAGGGAATGGACCTTTAAAGGGGTAAGATTTACCCTAGAAGATGAAAACCAAACAAAAACACCATAAAAACTAAATACAACCATAATCATGGCATCTATGCATGGGAAGCTGCATCAGATGGCAAAGTGCTCACTAGAAGAAAGCACAAATTTATTCAGTGTATGTGACAACTCCTGACAGGTCATGTGTGTGTGTGTGCACACAGAACAAGAAACAATGTGCACAAAATGAAACACAGGAGTCTCTGAATGTAAATAAGCACTTTTTCACTGTAAGGGTAACGAGCACTGGCAGAAGTTGCCCAGAGAAGTGATGGAGTCTCCATCCCTGAAGATACTAAAAAGCCACCTAGACACGGTCCTGCTCTAGGTTGCCCTGCTTGAGCAGAAGGGTTGTTACTGAAAAAGAAAAACTTATGTTGCATTCTTTCTCCTAAATGCTCGTGAAAAGACTGAACTAAATACTAATTGTATTTACTGTTGTTTTTTTTTTCCTTTCAGAATCAGACAAAAGCTGTTGTGATGAGCTTTATTATATACTTAAATCATAGCATTTTCATCCTGGAAAAAACTGATTTCAGCTAACCTAAAAATCCCCAGCCCTACAAAAAATGTAGCATTTACTAATAATTACTCGTTCTTCCAATCCAATGCCTCTGGCCATAAATTCCAGACAACGATAGTGTGGCCAATAGTAATATCCTAATTACATCATTATGCAGTTAATAGTTATATATCTATATATCCACTACTTGATATTCAGAAAGTCTAGCCGAATTAAGAGTGGAAGAAAGACAGGTAATTTGTAGAGCTATTTTATTAACATGGGATTTCCCTGGCTGACTATATGGATGGCAGCATAACAGCTTTAAAAAATTCACAAAGAAATGCTAATTAGCATTATGTGCTTACTCATTTTTTCACAATGCATTCTGGACTCCATAAAACAGATAAACAATAAAGGCCATACTGTGTGCCACAGCTGATTTTTCAAAACTTATATTAAATTATCTGTTTAAGTGGGCACTGCATCAGCATGAATGTCAATTGGTAGAAGTACTAACTTTTAATAGATATTTGATGCAATCCCACACCAACCCATCACAGAAAAAATATTTACATTGGCTTCAAAAGAAATAATGTGTCAAGATTTAATATTTAGAACCAAGTAACAACACCACCACCACTTTGTCTTGTTGACAAGAAGTATCCAAAGACCACTTACTCGAAGAAGTGTCAGGCTTGATTTGATTCAGCCTCTTTATTAATAATGGGAAAGAATGGACAGAGAGCACATTATTCAGATCTGTTCCTGCCTCCTCATCCTTTCTGCAGTCCCTGTGCTCACAGGTGGAGACATCATCTTTAGGGCTCAAACCTGGAAAGTACTTTAGTGTTTACAAGCACCAGAAGAGATACTGAAAGGGCACAAAAGGGATCATGAAAGACTCAAAACTTGTTCTAGAAATAGCAAAATGAGATATAATCTTGAAAAATAAGTCACAAAGCAAGCAAAGTGTGGGAGGGAAGGAATTAATTCTTTGGTACATGGACATATGAAGAGGTACCTGCAAAACAATTTCATTTTGCAGTGCTTTTGAGGAGAAATTACAGTTTGTAAAATACCAGAACATAAAATTTTAAGAAGTTTTCAATCAGAAGTTTTGTCATAGCTAGAGCAGATCTCCAGTCACTTCATGGGCCTGAGGTACCAAGGTTGAAAATTTAGCATTTCCAATTCAAGAACAGATTTTACAGCACTTTTTCACAAATAGTCCAGGAAGTGGAGGGTGGTTTTTTTGTGGGTTTGTTTTTTTTTTCATTCAGCATAGAACAAATGCCTATTTCTACAGCTCTTGTGCTCAACCATATGGAAATATATATGAAAATCATGAAAACATATGCCTCTAGATGGATAGGAACTCAATGAGTTGGTTTCATGAGAAGCGTTTAGTGCTGACCTGGACATCTGGGTATTATCATGGATTCTCTTAACACACAATTAATTTGAACTGAGGCACACCTTCATACTCTGCTGCCAATGGGCTATGAAAGAGCAGCAAAAGCTCTAAGACTGAGTACCTTCCTGTCCCAGCTAGTAACATCTGAACAATGTTAGTAATTACCTTTTACTTTCGGGCACATTAAAATTCCATTACTAACCCCTATAGCAGCAATAAGTCAGTTTTACTGTGCCTTTTTCTGAACACTGGAGTCACTTTTCCTTATTGTGAACACCATTTAGGTATTCCAAAGACAGAGCATATCAGTTTGGTTTTAAGTGCCTAGCATTTCCCAGATTTAAATTTATGAAACGCATACACTACTGTGGTCAAGAAAACCAAGACAGCATCAGAATTGGTTATTCCAATTATTGATTTTGTTCTGAGCTTCCTGCTCTGCCAGAGGCAATCCTAACTGAGTTATCCCCTATGAGTTAACTCAAGTCTTATGAATTCCCTGTGGTGCTTCCTCATGAGCGCACGGCTAAAAGACACACAAAACATATCTTTGTTTTAGTATTCTTCTATTTCACTGCATTTGAACTGCTGAAAGGGAAATCTTGAGTATGTCTCTTGTGCAGAAATCTGGGGTGACAAGTCTCACAAAGCACAAGAACAAACTTCAACCTGAAAAAATAGAAATAATGATAAAAGTGAGCGAGTCTCCTGTGAAAGTCGTTTTCAGGAGCTCCTAAGACATTACCTAAGGCCTGATCCTAATTTCCTATACAGACAAAACTCTAAGAGCTGTCAATCAGATTTCTGTTTGAGAAGAAACTGCAAGACTAGGCTCTACACAGGAACAAAAATAGCCACACCAAAGAAAGACTACATAGCTCTGAGTAGTTTCCAACAAATGGAAACATTTCAGCTCTACTTCTAATGAATTTGCACTTTTGCGAAAACAACCACCTTATTGATATTTAGGGAAAATTGGTCTATTTCTATCATATTGCTGGGAACAGCATTCTCCATACCTCCTGGTGTTATATAATCTCTAATGAAAAACAAGACACAGATTAAAAATATATCCCAAGATGCACAAAACATTTCCAAGTATTTTTTATTCCTAATTAAGAGCAGTATAAAACCAGCAATAATAACAACCCCTTCTGATAACTTGATATATTTCAACACCAGTACTATAATGCTCAGAAGTATTTCTTACTTTTTTTTAGGGCTCAGTGGTATTTAATACAGGCACATATATATTTTTAGAAAGTGTTTCATGATGCCACTTGCAATGTTTCGAAAATCAGAACACCAGTATCAGCAGTTGGAGGTCTACCTGCTATTGCATGGGTCACTTGCTGCTTAGAAAGGCTGTTGCTACAGTATGGACTAAAGCATACTGAAGAAGCTGAAACTTTAGAGAGGAAATTCTGGTATCCCAGCTGTCTCAGGAATAAACAAATAGGGAAATGAGAAATCCAATGTTTGTCACAAATACTACAATTCCCAATCGATTTTCTCATTCATCTGTTTCATGTTAACCAACAATTGGCTCAGTTACACTGGACCCATGTAATATAAGTAGTATAGAAATAAACTTTCTGCATACATCAGTTCTGTTTCAGGTCAAATAGCTGACATAAGAAGTGGGCTATTACAGGGGAAAACTAACACGGCAAACCCTTGAATATCAGCCCCAGCAGTTAGGAGGGCAGAGAGATGGGATCCCACCCACTTTCTCCTGGGAGGTTATGTGTGAATGGTTGGCTGAGAAAGGACACACTCTGCCAGGAAATATCATCAGTATCTTGATGCAGAGTGGGATCTCAGGAGAACGTCTGCTTTTGCAGGCACAAGAGAACTTCATGCTCCCCTACATGTTATGCACCAAGGTAGCACCCAGGTGGGATGTGGTATTGTGAATTGAAGCTTGGTGCCAATGAACCATGCATTTTTTTATAGCAAGCTATAAATGTCTTATAAATATAGTCAGCTTTCATTGGAAGAAATGAGACGGTGTGGTGCATTCTTTGCATCACTGAACGAGCACAGATTCTCCCTCAGCTAAATCATCTAAACCTTGGAGTAACTGATGCTAACTTCACCAAGATGTCACTCTGCATGTTAATTCACAGTTATATAGGTTTATAGGCACATAGTGCCCTCTGCTGATTCACAGCACTGGTACGTTACACACACCTTGTACTCTCAACTTAAAATCCTAGTAATGTCATTCATATAAAGCGCAGAAATGGTAAGATGCAAAGTTGTAAGAAGGAAAACGAGAAACAGAAAGCATCACTTCAGGCTGTAACTCAGTTTCTCATCTGCTGCCCTGCAGAAAACTATCCTTTTGGTTTGGTTTGTGGGGAGTGGTTTTTCTTTTTGTTTTGTTTTCTCTTGTTTTTTTAATCCATAGCATCTAACAATATGTGTCTTTAGGACTAAGCCTCTTGTGTAATTGTAATTCTCCATAAAACATGGCAACTAGCTGGACCAAGCCGAGAGAAGTATACAGGCCTACTAAGAAAACTGTAACAGTGTTAAGCTTCACTGAAGTTCCCCTCTTTGAGAAACTGTTCAGGTGCTCATACGCTCAGCTTGGTCACTACACTGACAGATACCCTAAAGGTAAAAAGATATATAGGTTAGAAAATAGAAATGCAGCATAAGAAAATCTGTATAACTAATGGTGCAAAGGTATAATATTAAGATACACCAAAATATCCTCCAAATATTTTTCAATATCTGAGATCATCAGTTGTGGATGCCAGAGTGTTTTGTTAAATCTGGTCAGCAAAAGTAATTTCATTTTCAGTGGAGCATAGCTAGACACATTGGCTTGAAACACGCATCCGGAAAAGGAAAGAAGCTAATTGGGAACAATTTATTTCTGTCATATTACAGAGATAAACTCCATCTTCATTCTGCCACAACATCAGTCATATAGCCACTGGAATACTTGTCTTATCTGCAAAAAGGCTGAATGAGAAAAACAACTACACTGAAATGATTTTGAAAGGGAAATAGAGGTTCTGCTCTGAATTTAAAAGCAAACATAACTGTTCCAATC